TGCAATGTGTTAAGAGCGCAACGAGCCTCGTGTTCAGCGACTCCGCTCGACCAGCCCACGCATCGCCGCTGAATTCACCAAAGGCCATTCAGGGTTGAACACACCTCTAGTCAATCGACCACTGAATAAAAGGATCCCCGATTCATGCAGTGGTTTGACCGTACTTCGCCACATTTGGTCAACGCGAATTGGTGAAGCAGAAACTTTCACTGGAGGCGCGCCCCATTTGTATTTGAGTGCACGTATGCCACATGTAACATGTAGGCTATTTCATCGACGGCTCGCAAAGCAGCAAGTATTGTACATCGTCACTTCTGGGTTACAAATGTGACTTGGTAAGCGAGAAACAAAAACAAGAACCTAACGTCCCTCTGAAATCATCAGAATGTTTTTTTTTTTAAATCAGGATCTCTATTTAGACTGCAGGAGTAATACAATGAGCTATGAAGGTCTTGTTCACAGACGTCCAGCTTGGAGCGGGTCATAAAGTTGCAACAACAACAATAAAAAACGATGGGAGTGCAAAGTATCGGAAAGTTAAGCAGGTCACTATATTACGATTTAAAGCTTTCGTGACTGCAGGGATTCATCTTCTTGGTTCTTTCGGTAAAGTCACGTAGAATGGAAATGAAATGATAAAAATAAAATAATACAATTCTCACGACGTTTCGGCCACAACGCAAGTGGCCTTCTTCAGGTGAAGAAACAGGTCTGTCCAGAAGACAGAGTTTGAATGAACGCTGTCAAGCAAGGACCGCGTCTTTTAAAGCTGTGTGGGCGGAGTTGAATTAGCATGTTACCAGCCCCACCTCCGGAGCGGAGGAGGGAGGGGGCTGGGAACAACGACAAAAAATGGGAACAAAGTAAAAAGACAAAAGAACAAACAAGTGAAACAGCCAAGGTGCGCTGCTGTGTCCTGAGTTGCATTATGACTATGCTATAAACTGGACTACTATGTAATACAATATTATACCCTCCAATCTAAACTGCATCGTATAACATAGACAAATTCCACCTTTGAATTATACAATGCGTTACTTTACACTACCCTATACTTTATACTATAAAATATTAGACTTGTAACATTACACTATGTTTTATTCTATGAACCCATCTATTTCCCACACTACTGTATATTCACTATGAAATTACGATGCTATATATTGCCTTATGAGTTATGTTAAACATTACAATGTTATACTATTAATTATTATACTACATGTTATAAACCACATCATTAATCATGGTGTGAGAGGTATTAAGAGGCAATGCCAGCGAAAGGGCTGCGGTCTGAAGGTCACCGTAAAATACGATAAATTAAGAACCGAAATGGTTTAAAACATCTTTCCAATGGTTACTAAGCCAGAATCCATCTTCTCGGTTGAAATTGTCTCTGTGCTTGTATATGTGGATGGCCTCATGAATGAATCTCTCATGGTAGCCGGATGGCTTGCAAAAACCTCTGTCTTGGAGAAGTCAATGTCATTTGAGCCCACTGAATTATAACAGTGATCTGCCACGGCTGAGGAGTCCGTCCTACCGTGTTTCAAGTCTGCTTTATGTTCACAGATGCGGTCCGAGATATGTCGTTTGGTTTCTCCAATGTAGCTGCTACCACAGAGGCACTTTAGTTTGTAAACGCCCGGATACTGTATGTCTGGAACCACATCTTTTACAGATGGAAGCAGATCACGGATTTTATGTACTGTGTTGAATCGGACCTGGATCTTGTGTTTATTCAGGATTTTGGAGATATTTTTTGTGACTCCCGCAATGTAGGGTAAGGTGATGGTTTTGAATGGTTCCTCAAGAGCATCCTTCTTTATGACTGGAGTGATGACTTTGCGGATTGTGTAGTCGGAATAACCATTAGCCTTCAGAGCTTGGTGTACGTGTTTGAGTTCACTGGCAATGTGATCCTGGTCGGAAATGCATTGGGCTCTATGGTATAGAGTCTTGATGAGGGAGTTCTTCTGGGATGGATGGTGGCGGGAATCCGGTTTTAAGTAAGCATCCGTATGGGTAGCTTTCTTGCTGCAGAGAGAGCTGCTAGAGGGTACAGGGGTTCCTCTACCTATGAACATTCGACTTACGAACTTTCAGAGATACGAACAAACCTGTCCGTATTTCCAGTTGCCAGTTCGGACCGAGAGTCGTGAGTTCAACTGCCGCGCAATTGATGGCAGTGGTGGCATCTACATCTGCAGAACGTGAAGAACCAGTGGCATCTCCATCTACAGAAGATTAGACAACGTTTAAAGCCACTCCCCGTGTTTAGTGTACATGCCGTACGACATGTTTGGAATCTACAGGCATAAAGTTGGACTTACAAACAAATCGACTGACGAACAGACCTCTGGAATCAAACTCGTTCGTAAGTAGGGGAGTTCCTGTATTTGGCCGAATTAAATCGTCCACGCGGGCCGCATATCTTGGAAGAGGTGGGAATAGCCACACCCCACCACACATGACCTGCTGACCGACCGAACTGTGCAGTATCCTTTTACGCAGCTGTGTGGACAGAGGCGTTCGGATAAATAACAAAAATACGTGCACAGTCGTTTCAACGGAATTAAACCGACGGCCTTTCCATCGCAAGTCCAGCGCGATAACCATGAACACCATGGCAGTCCCATTCTCATATCTGTGGAAACATTGAATTAAAAAATACAACCTAACCAGGTGTCCCTGCGAGCCGAACGTTGGAGAGCGGCGGCATCGTGCTAAATCGCCTGCGATGGGCCCAGAGCACGCATCACGGCAAGAATGCAAAAGCACGAAGGCTCTCAGGACGATGGAACGATGCCAGGACGACTCCACACAAGTGCAGCTCTGCGCTGTCCCCCCCCCAACCCCACCACTGCCCATCTGTGCACCTGGACTCAATTAACCGGCAGCCTGGGTAGACAGCAGTCCAGCGGCTCGTGGGGCTTCCAGGGGAGTGGAATGACAGTCGAGTCACGTGCAGCGGGAGGGTAGGAGAAACGCAACGACGCTAAACGATTCGGGGGGGTGTGGATTCGTACGGCGGCGTCTCAAATGCGACGGCGTCTCAAGACACCGCGCAGAAACGGAGCGTGTTACGCGGCGCGTAGGGGGAGGTTGCCGGTCGCAGGCCGTGGAGAAGGGAAAGGTCCGAGGCGTGGACTGAGAGTCGACGGCAAAGACGGCTGGGCATTGCAGACCTCGGGGGGGGGGGGATGGGGATGGGGGGGGGGGAAGCAGAGGAGAATGAGTTGGCCCCTCATTCAGCGAAGGTTGACTGGATACGGGGACGGAGATGCCTCGGTTGCTGGAGCAGAGATTGGATGGGTGGGGGGGGTGGGGGGTAGAGCGAGGTGAGATGGGGAGAGGTAGGCGAGTGGCGGGGAGGGCATTGGATTTATCTGAGAAGAGAAGGAGGGGAGGGAGGTGGGCGGAGGTGAGTCTACTGAAGATTCCGAAGACGGATGAGTGTGAGCTTGAAATCGATCCCGCATTCGATTGGGAATCGGCGGAGCTATCTGAGCAACGGAATGAGTTCTTCTCGTTTACAGGGGAGGTGTTGTGGGATCATCTGGGGTTTGGAGATGAGCGCTTAGGGGAGGTGGGGGGAGGGGGGCAGAGGAAGGAGCTGCAGTGGTGGAGTGCGGGGTTGCTGGTGAAGGCACGGGGATGAGGGATCTCCCGACAGGAGAGCAGGCTCGGCGAGGCGATAACAGATGTGGGGGGGGGAGAGGTTGTGCGACGCACGTGTGCTCTATGTACGTATGCATGTTGGACTTCTCCCGCGCCGTACGTAGCCAATCGGGCTCATCGGAGGACGAGAAACTGAACACGAAAAGCAGTTAGTAAAAAAATAAGTTTGTCAACCTAGATGTTTTAAAAGTGCACAGCTCCAGTGGCTTCCTAATATCGGAAGGAAGAGCGTTCCAGACGGCCGCTAAAGCGCATCCAAAAGCGCGCAATGCGGTTACCGTATTTGTCCGATGGCTCGCCAAAAGTGTAGTGTATAGTGTAGTGTATAGTGTTTGGTGTAGTGTATAGTGGTGTATCGTGTAGTGTATAGTGTAGTGTATTGTGTGTAGTATATAGTGTAATGTATAGTAATGTATCATGTAGTGTATAGTGTATAGTATGTAGTTTATAGTGTGTAGTGTATAGTGCAGTGTAAAGAGTAGTGTATAGTGTAGTGTATCGTGTAGTGTATAGTGTAGTATAAAGCATAGTGTATAGCGTAGTGTATAATGTATAGTGTGTAGTGTATAGTAGTATATAGTGTAGTGTATAGTGTGTAGTGTATAGTGTAGTGTATAGTAGTATATAGTGTAGTGTATAGTGTGTAGTGTATAGTGTAGTGTATAGTAGTATATAGTGTAGTGTATAGTGTGTAGTGTATAGTAATATATAGTGTAGTGTATAGTAGTGTATAGTGTAGTTTATAGTGTGTAGTATATAGTAGTGTATAGTGTAGTGTATAGTAGTGTATAGTGTAGTGTATAGTAGTGTATAGTGTAGTGTATAGTGTATAGTAGTGTATAGTGTAGTTTATAGTGTGTAGTGTATAGTGTAGTGTATAGTAGTGTATAGTGTAGTTTATAGTGTGTAGTGTATAGTAGTGTATAGTGTAGTTTATAGTGTATAGTGTAGTTTATAGTGTGTAGTGTATAGTAGTGTATAGTGTAGTGTATAGTAGTGTATAGTGTAGTTTATAGTGTGTAGTGTATAGTAGTGTATAGTGTAGTTTATAGTGTGTAGTGTATAGTAGTGTATAGTGTAGTTTATAGTGTGTAGTGTATAGTAGTGTATAGTGTAGTGTATAGTCGTGTATAGTGTGTAGTGTATAGTAGTGTATAGTGTAGTGTATAGTGTAGTTTATAGTGTATAGTAGTGTATAGTGTAGTGTATAAAGCATCTGAAAGCGCTCGACGCGGCGACCGTCTTTGTTCGACGGCCGGCCAAGAGCCGCCACCACCGCCGCCGCGGTGACGACCGCAGTTTGCTCTCCCAGCGCTGCTCACCTGGACAGGTGAACGCGCTTCTCCGTGTACTGGCCCGTGCCGTGCACCGGGTCTTCATAGGGCTTGTTGTGCACCACCTCCACGCCCTCGCCCTTCTCGCTCTGCTCGTGGCTGTGCTTGCTGATCATGTAGAGCTGCCCGATGCGGTACTGCACGCCGGGGGAGGGGAGTTGGGTGGGGGTGGGAGGGGAGGCGCGCAAAGGGGTGCCACACAACGACTGTCATCAAACAGCGGTGTCCACTACCCCCTCGGGATCACAAGAGACGCACGTCGCAGGGAGAGGACGCGACGCTCCGAGGCGTTCGCTTCGAGACAAAGGATGGGAGGGGTGGGGGGGATGTTCATAGATGGCCACCGTGTGCCGATTGATGCAACAACGACAACAACCACGACCACTGGGAAAAACCTTCACACGACCGTAACTTTAATTAGGTGTCTGTGGCGAGCTATCGTCTCTCGGAGTTCTTTATAAAATATATATTTAAATAAAGGTACGAATCACGACTCTCGCAGGATTAAATTAATCATCTTCGTCTGATGTTATATATTGTTAAATGTTAACTTCATCATTAGACCTCCTTTGCCAGTACCAAAATATATGATAGGGTTTTTCCCATTTTTTTTCTGGCAACAAAACTGAAACCTTCTTACAATGAATCATGTGTGAATTAACCACAATACCTTTGGTCAAAATGCAAACAAAAACAACACACTGATAATATTGTGCATTGTCCTTGAAACTGATTGGTCCACACCAGAGACGGCTTTCTCTTGAGCCTCGTCTCAATTGGTGCTAAACCAGAGGACGCCAAAACTTCACTTCAGCATCACCATCATCGTCCATTTGCTGTATCCTCCCGATTACAAGAGGCTCTGGGAAAGTAAGACAAGACGCACCCACCCAGAACCTGTGCCCTCTGTCAACATAAAGTTATAAACTTGTGATGTCACACACGCACACACACCACCGACCCGATATAAGACGTATCCGACAACTTTTGCTTTACAATACTGCGGGCGAGGGGTGGGGGGAGTGCATCATATAACCGGGAGGATACGGCAAATCAATGTGCAGGACGTTTTTTTTGGGGGGTGGGGGGGGAAATCTGTGTATGTTGTACTTCTGTCGCACCGCACGCAGCCAACCGTGCTAATCGGAGGTGCGGGCAATTGTTCTGTTATGCTACGGCGTCCTCATTAATTCGTGTGTCGCGTTGTTTGATCCAGTCGAGGTGCTGCTGCGGTTCGGCACGTGACTTGCAGCCTGTAGGCTGCGTGAGGTGAAATCCAAATCAAGTTCAGTCCATCATCATCATCATCAACCCACTGTGTCCAAAAATACAATCGATTCTCACTGTGCGAAGTCAAGCAATGTTACATATAAGCCACGCACCGCTGAATGTTACGATACATCAAAAGATATGCGTGAAAATCTCCTCCTAGATATGAAACTTCGGACGATGAGAAATATATCTTTAGAGAATTATCCGAATGTGATGGCGCGTGATTGCCTCCTCCCTGCTGCACTTCCCACCACAATTGGTGTCACGTGGTATCGGATCACATCACTGTTGTGCGAGCGCAGGAGACACGTACGTTAACGGATTGCAAATTATTATTTATTTTTAAACGATTTGAAAATCTGGAGAGAGAGAGAGAGAAAGAAAAAAGATCAGAAATTGCCGTTAAAAATCTGAAACCCTAAATGCACCCCCTCGCTATAGGATACACCAACTCCAACCCTGGGATTGTGGAGTTCCCCCCCCACCCACCCACCCTCTCTCAACCCCAGGGGCCGCCAGTGGAGTTAATCACTGCTCCGTGCTCGTTACCGAGGGGAAACACTTTACTTGATTTCCTCGTTTTGTTCAGCGATTGACGTCAACGGCGCACGCGTAAGAAGACATTCGGGCTGCGAGGATTGGGCCCCGCTCACGATTCCATGAATCGGGGGGGGGGGGGGGGGGGGGGGGTGGCGAGATTTCACTCGAGAATCTTTTTTATTTATTTAGTTACTTTTGCAACATCCTCAGGCAAGCGAGGGCTTTTATTTTTGTTATTGGATAACGATGATTGTCACCAAGTGTTCCTTCGCCCATGCAAAGAGGCGGAACTCCGTATGGCCAGTTGGTGGAAGTTCCATGTTCTTGTGGAGAGGACCGGTACATCCATCCCCTCGCCACTTGCTTATTGCTCAGAAAGTGGTAGCACAATCTTCTTTGGTTCTTTCGGTAAAGTCACGTAGAATGATAATAAAATAATAAATTGATAAAATAAAATAACACAATAATATTCTCACGACGTTTCGGCCACAACACAAGCGGCCTTCATCAGGTGAAGGGGGCGAGACTGTCTGGTAGGACAGCGCTGGAGTGAAAGAGCCACGTTCAGATACGGCCTTTAAGCTGTGTGAGAGGAACAATGTATCACCACCCCCCCCTCCTCTCGCTGCCCTCCTCCCAATCAACGATAGGCTGAGCCAACCACCTAACAGGTATTTGAACTCCAACGGGCCGATTCGCACGGTTGACTACGTACGGCGCGAAAGAAATTCAACGTCCACACACATACACGGCGAGCAGCTCCCTCTGACCGCGGAGCTGGGCGGCTGGCCAGAAGAATGGCAATGGAATATGTCAACAATCATAAAGCGCTCGTCTCGTCGACAAACATGAGCTGTGACACATAGGACACAGCTGATGAATGAAATTGTGATTAAGCATTCTGTGAAGCGCGCAAATAAATCCCGACGTTTAAACTTGTTGAATCAAATGCAAGCGCTATGAATGCAGAGCTCGAAGCCGAAAGGCAGGGGCCAGGGGGTGCGCCACACACTAAGAAGTACAGCGCGTTCTGTTTCTCTGCTGCGAACTCGCGAAATGCGTCCGTGAACACCGCCCCCCTGAAACCTTCACAGATTCAAAACCTGGTGTGCTGATTGCTCGCTCGTGAGGTGCCAGTGCCACGTCCGTCCGTGGGTAGCGACCGCCGCGGTTCAATTACGACGTTCGTTTACGCGAAGCTCACGCCACGGTAATTGTGTGTGTGTATATATAAAAAAACCAACAACAACCGGCGTGCGTTCGTTGCGCCCATTGCTCCGCCAGAATGATCGTCGTGCGCGTCAACGGTGCTCCGAGAGCGCCCAGCGAAACCCGTCGCGCGCGCGCGTCTCTTCGTCTACGGGTGGCGGCCCTGCGTCGGTCAAGGCGTGCACGCGATGGGAACACTCGTCGCGATCATAACGGGACAATAGGAGAGGCTGGAAGACCGAATGGTTTCCAATTTCGCGCGCAGATATGCGGTGCCGCTCAAGCTTTGTGCATTGAACTGGTGACGTTTGCGGGGACTGTTGATGGGGGGGGTGGTTTTTTATTTTTTGTTACACGATGCAGAAAACGCTGAGCAATTTTTTTTAAATCTTTTTTTTTGGAGGGACACGTTTTTCCCGTGTTGTTCCAAGCGCCGTTTTCTGGCGTGCGCTATTTTTCTGTTCCCACGACGGGATTTTCGAGTCATGTACAGATTAGATTCATGGCGCCCATTAGCCAAGCTAATGCCATCGTGTCCGCGAAACGGGCGCCGTGCACAGCGTGGAAGTGGGGCACTGCACATATATGGTTCCCAGGGGCAGACTTGTCAAAAGTGAGCATTTGTTGACTTGACTGTGATCACGAGTCCGAATAAGGCAGTGGTTTTTCTTCTTCACCTGGGGGTGCACGCAACCGCCTGGGGGTGCCAGATGCCCTTTTTAGGGGTGCGAGACGTGGCCAGATTTCCTTAGAAGGTAAATAATCGAAAGCACAAATTGAGCACGGGCACGTAAGTTACAACTTTCTTCTGATTTGATAAACCATTTCGGGTCTTAATTGATTGTTCACGCTTACGGTGGCTTTCAGATAGCATACATTAATTTTTCGTCTCCCCCCTCCTCTTTTCCGAACATAGATGGACTCGTCCATCTAAACAAACTGTCAAATCGCTGTCCGTGGTGCTAACGTTTAAAAAGAAAGAAATAAATATAAACCGCCACTTCTTTCAAATGTTTCTTGCCGTTGGTTTTCACACCTGATGATGACTGCTTGTGTTGAAGTCGAAACGTCGTGATAATTTTATTGTTTCATATATACATATTTTATTGTTTCCCTTCTACGTGACTTTACCGAAAGAACCAAGAATATATATAAACCCCTGTATATTTATTAACATTGTACTTTTTGTTGAACTATTGAGAACTGGGGTTCAAAGGCTGCAGGAAAGATTAAAAACCACTGGAATAAGGTCTGGAGTTGTCTCTGTTCCTCTGGTGAACTTAACACAAGACGACAACGATGCGGTTCTTCTGTTAGGCTGAATACAACGTGCTACACGGATACTATACCCACTGAATCGAGCCAAAGGTTTTAAGTGTGGGGGTTTAAGTGTGGGGGTTTAAGTGTGTGGGGTTTAAGTGTGGGGGGTTTAAGTGTGTACCTAAGTCATCATTAGACCTCCTTTACCAGTACCAAAATGTAATAATAGGGTTTTTCCCTTTTTTCTGACAACAAAACTGAAACCTTTCTACAAGGATTCATGTCTGCATTAACCACAATACCTGCAGTCAAAATGCAAACAAAAAACATACTATGATAATATATGCATTGTCCTTGAAACTGATTGGTCCGCACCAAGGGACGGCTTTCTTTTGAGCCTCGACCCAATTGGTGCTCATCTGGTAAAAAGGTTTCAGTTTTGTTGCCAGAAAAAAGGGGAAAACCCCTGTTATTATGTGTTCCTAAGCTCAAGAAAATCCCATCGACGCTCATTTCCCTCAGAGGCACCGAGCTAGTGAGGGTAAGCCCACACTCCTATGATAGGTAGAAATCTACCCATTATATATATAAAACAGTGTAGTCTATAGTGTTTTAAAATCCTGTCTATTTCAGCTCAAACTGTGGTCACGCCATTGGCTGAGTCTGTTACACCCCATCCCCATCCCCCGCCCCTGATGTATTCAATTGTGGTATCGACACCTTGTCATTGACACCATGTGGTATTGACACCTTGCCATGAGATAGAATCTCGTGTAACCCCAGCTCGCCCCTCCCCCGCTCCCCACCAATGCCACCTTCCACGCCCGTGTTGTGGGAGCACGCCTGCGGAGGAGAT